GTGCATGAGAGGAATTATCCAACACATGATTTGGAGTTGGCAGTGGTAGTGGTTGTTCTTAAGATCTGGCTGTATTACCTCTATGGTATTAAGTGTGAGGTGTTTACTGATTATCGTAGTTTGCAGCATGTGTTTACTCAAAAAGATCTGAATTTGAGACAACGAAGGTGGATGAAATTACTTAAAGATTATGATGTCACCATTCAATATCATCCGGGTAAGGCTAATGTAGTGACAGACGCTTTGAGTCGAAGGGCGGTAAGTATAGGTAGTTTAGCTTGCTTGAGTGTAACTAGACGACCTTTGGCTAAGGAAATCCGGGCATGAAGAAGGATATAACAGAGTTTGTCGCTAAGTGTCAAAATTGTCAACCAGTGAAGTATGAACATCAAAGGCCTGCAGGTTTGCTTCAAATAATGCCAATTCCGGAATGGAAGTGGGAAATGATAGCCATGGATTTTGTGGTTGGTCTTCCCAAGACTTTGGGAAAGTTTGATTCTATTTGGGTAGTGATTGATAAATTGACTAAGTCAGCCCATTTTGTTCTGGTAAGAATAGATTATAATGTTGAACAATTGGCTAAGGTTTATGCGAAAGAAATAGTGAGGTTGTATGGGGTTCCCCTTTCTATCATCTCAGATCATGGTACGCAGTTTACCTCCAAGTTTTAGAGAAAATTACATGATGAATTGGGAACACAGCTCACTTTTAGTACCGCTTTCCATCCACAAACAGACTGGCAATCGGAGAGGACTATTCAAGTGTTAGAATACATGTTGAGGGCATGTGTGATTGACTTTGGAGGGGATTGGGATAAGTTCTTACCCTTGTGTGAATTCTCTTATAATAATAGTTATCACTCTAGCATTGATATGGAACCTTTTGAGGCATTATATGGGAGGGTATTTAGATCACTCATAGGATGATTCGAGGCTAGAGATGTGAAACCTTTGGGGGTCGATTTAGTGAAGGATGCTTAAGAGAAGGTGAGGAGTATTCAAACTAAACTCTTAGCAGCCCAGAGTAGACAAAAGAAGTATGCAGACCATAAGGTGAGACACATGACATTTCTGATGAGAATGTTCTTCTTAAGGTATCGCCAATGAAAGGGGTGATGAGGTTTGGCAAGAAGGGCAAACTAAGTCCGCGATACATTGGTCCCTTTGAGGTTCTTGAATGTGTAGGACCAGTAGCGTATAAATTGGCTTTACCTCCTAACCTATTGGGAGTTCATCCGGTTTTTCATGTGTCCATGTTGAAGAGATATCATGGGGAACGGAGATTATATCATTAAGTGGGACTCAATTGTGTTAGACGAAGACCTCCAATATGAGAAGGAACCGATTGAAATCTTGATCGTGATGTCCGAAAGCTGAGGACCAAGGAGATTAAGTCCGTGAAAGTTCAATGGAAGCATCGTCCAGTTGAGAAAGCTACTTGGGAAACCGATAAGAACATGAGAGACAAGTACCCCAATTGTTTGTCGATTCAGGTACTACTCCATTCCTTCCTTAGCCTATTTTTCCTAAGTTGGTCACTCGGGGGCGAGTGATGGGTAAATTGGTATCTATTGTAACGAACGAGTTTCGTCTTTATAGAAAAGCCAACAGGGAAAACTTTTGGGTCGGAAAACTTTTTCGTAGTAACTTGGAATTTCCCAACCTAGTCCAGATTTGGATGAAATCAGAGTCATTAAAGTCTAGGGAAATATGGTAACAATTGGGTGATATAATTATGAATTTGATCACATGAGTAGATAGCTAAGACGTTAAGGAACCCATACAACTTTACTGAATTGAATTCGGGTGAGTAGAACTCTCGAAATTGATCTTAGTGTGAACGGGTAGTTTTTGCGTGTCGTTGGTTGAAGGTGTGTTGTGAAATAGGGGTCTAGTAATTATTAAAATAGCTCACTGTTTCCATGCAAGCTGCTGATGCGGGATTTCTGCTGCCAAGGCGGGGCCGCTGTAGCGGGGTGAGTGCCGCCATAGCGGGGCAGACGCGACTTAAAGTTGGAAACAAACCCCAAAACATTTTATTTTGCAATTTTCAAACTTGAGAGCTAAGGAACGAACCCAGAGGTTTTCTTGACAGTTTTCTACCATTCTTGAGGCTAAATGTAAGATTTTAACTTCTCGAATCCATTTTTTCGATCCGTAGAACGTAATCTAATGGGTAATTATCAATGGGCGAGGGTTTTGATCTGGAAATTATGGTGGAGAAACCCTAATCTGGGTATGGGGATAAGTGTTTGACCTAGGATTGATATTATTGTTTATAATTCGGGTAATTAGGTGTTGTTTATTGATCCTCATGCTATTATAATTGTTTGTAGACCAAGAACAAGCGGAACGAATCCGGAAAGGGAAGAATCAAGCTTCTTAGGGGATTCAAGTTTGTTTCGAGGTAGGTGATGGTTGTGATTTCATGATTGTGTGATATATGTTCGTTCTTCTTCATTATAATACGTGTATGTATGTGAATGTTGCATTATTGATCACACTAATTGTAAATGAGATAGATGAATGATGAATGCCATGAATCATGACTTGATTATATGATTATAAGAATATACTTGTGATTGTGATTGTGGCTTGTTGAATGGATCGGGTGTTGCGTTCCGACACACTAACTTGGATCGGTTGCCACGTTCCGGCATAATTATGGGATCAGTTGCCACGTTCTGACATAATCATTGGATCGGGTACCACGTTCCGGTATGCTAACAGCTTAGGTTTGGGTTCCATGAGAGGACCTATGACTTGACATATCTGTATAATTGAGGCTTGTGAAATGCTCTGTTGTTATTGAATGTTGTTGATATTGTATATATTCGGTATATGCATGTAATTATATTATTGTAATGGCTTATGTATGTTGCACTTGTGAGATTGTCGTGTGATCCTACCAGTATACTGTGGTTGTGTACTGATACTACACTTGCTCTTTCTTTGTTGAGTACAGAGCATCTTCAAGCGGCTATTGACAGACCTCGTTCAGAAGATCAGTGATCGTGGTTCGAATTCAAGGGTGAGCTAGTTCTTCTGGGCTGCCATGAGTTCTCCTTTCGTTTATGTCCACATTTCGGACTTAGACTAGTTCATTAGATATTCTTATGTTTAGTTGGGTTGCACCCATTTTCCTTTAGACTTTCGGTTCATTGTTAGAGTTTTGGTACATTGATTATCAGGTTATAGGCATTTAATTCTGCAGTTCATTGTTAGATCTTTTGAAAGTTTATGGGAACTTCAGTTTTAGTCATTTAAACTTGCTTTCGTATCTTTAAATGCTTGGTTCGTATTAATTAGTTAGTATTTATGGTTTTCCCACCGGAGGGTTAGTGTGGGTGCCAATCATGACGGTCTGGGTCGTGATATTTATATTGTAACATAAGTAAAAAAAATTATTAGATACTCAAATAAAGAATTTAAAACTTAATAAGAAATTGGTGGATTTCGCTATGACTCGGATTTTAGTCCATCTCAATCCAAGTAACTTGTCTCATCTATTTATTAACTCAATTCAATTTAATATGATCAAATTTAGTTTAATCCACCTATTTGATTAGAGCTGTTCAAAATCAAATTGAAATCGATTTCGAACTGAATAAAGTTATTAGTTTATCGATAATAGGTTATTGGTTTAGTAGTTTCTGTAAAGGTTTAAATTTTTTTATTATTGGGTTATTGCTTCTTAACGGGTCGAGTTTTTTCATAACGGATTATCGATAACCCCATAGTAAATTAAATAATCATATTTATACCATTTAGTATATCATTAAAGTCGTTGACTTAGAGTTTAGTCTCATACTTTTATTTTTGATTGTTTCAAACTATCCGTATTCTAAAATGTGAGTATCTTTGCTTTTGAGCAAAATGCAATTTGTCAACTCATGTGCATGGTTCATTTGATTTGTCACCTTTTTTCTAAGTTATTTCAATGATTTTTTTGTATCAAATCTTAATGGTTAAACCGATAAATCAATAACTGATAGGCCAATATCTTAATCAACAATAAGTCGAACCGATAAATCTCAAAACTAAACCAAACCAATCAATACACCACCCTACATTTGATACTCCTAATTGTCATAATTAAAAGAAATAGCAATAAACAATTTTAATTACCAATAAATAATAAAAAAAATTCGATTATACCATTTATTAATGAATTATAAAAAAAATGCTAGCTACAAACTAATGGAGGATTAGCAAGGAATTAATATCCTAACTAATTCCTTTTTTTCTCCTAATAAAGGAAAAGTCATGATTAGTATTTAGAGGCATTTTAACATCCTGGCCAGAAGATGAAATAAAATGATGATCTTTTTCTTTTATATGGAACATATATGACATGATAAAAAAATTTATTCACGGAAAAATACTTGCTTAGTTATTAATTCAGTGTGGTTAACTTGAATAAATGAGTAAAAAGATGCATAAAATTTAATGTGTATAGTCGGAGCCAGCTATTAATGAAATTTCATTAACATTAACAATCACGTGAATAAGCTATTATTAAAATCTCATTAACGATAGTCATGTAATTTCTTATATTATAAGACTACAATCCAGACACACCTAATTCATATAACTTAAGAATTAAGACTTGTATTTTAAAAAAAAAAAAAATGTTAAGTAATTATATTTATATACAATCATTTTAATTATTATTATTTTAACTGATAAAAAAACTTAGACTGTTTGTATAGATGAGAATAATATCTTGATTAAGTTTGTAATTTAGTATTTGTAATTAAAGTAATTAATTTAATTAATTATTTTTAGTAGTAGTAAGTGTGAATTGGGACCCAATTGAGTGAGAACAAAGTCTGTAACAAAAATTCTTTAGCTGCTGTTTTTTGTTTTGAAGCCAGTAACAGCATTTTTGTATTTTGTTTTTTTTATTCATTACAAATGAATCATCCTTTTTTATCTCTACTTTTCTCTTTTTTTATTTTTGTCACCCTTCTCTATATTCTTTTCATATTCAACATTTATCATATTCAATCCCTTATTTCTCCTTTTTACACTTTACCCCCTATAAGAAAAAAAAATCTATAAATAGGCGTAACATAGGTTACATTATCAGATCACCTGAAAAAGAAAAAAAAATGAATGAAGGCGGCAAGAATGACCATGGTTTATATGCTGATGTCTGGTCATACCTGGACTTGAATGACTATCAACTTGGGAGTGGAGAGACGTTTGAGGGTGACAAGTTGCTAGATCCGACTAGGTCGGATACTTGTCAGCCAGTGACAACTGTTAATGAGGTGGTTGAAGTGAGTATTGATGCTCCCAAAAACAGAAGTCCACCCAACCGAAAAAAAAATGGTAAGGGAATTGCAGAACCAACGTCTGGTGTTGACAGAGGAGGGGGTAAAGGTGAATCTGAGCACAAGATACACATATGGATGGAGAGAAAAAGGAGAAAGAAGATGTGAACCCTGTTTGAGACTCTTCATGCTTTGGTTCCTAATCTCCCTGCTAAGGTAAAAAAGAAGTTCTTTCAATGACTTACCTTATATTTTATTATCAGATATTTAATTCAATAAAAAATAATTCAATAAATTTAATGCTTATCTGAAACGATTTTTTTTTGTTATTTTCCTTGTATTGTCTTCCACAACCTTAATTAATAATTATAATCAACTAATCAAGAATTATTCGAAAAATGAACATGAGTTTTTCTTAAAATCAAATAGAAACTTGGAAAATGATTTAAAAAGTTACTCACGATAGTTCCATTTTTTCAAACTTTCTAAATTGAGTAAATAAATTTTAGGAGAATCTTTTTAGGAAGCTTACTGAAGGAGACATCAAAGAAATATTATTTAATGTTTCAAAACAAACTAACATAAAAATAAAAATTAGAGAGACTATTTCTAGTAGACCCTCGATTCAATTGGAATAAATTTTAATTGGTGATATACACATTCCCCTTATTACTAATTTGTACATATCTACCTGTTAATTCCAAAATAGAATAATAAGATGCGTTTTGTTTACCAAAAAAGTGAAGGATAAAAGAATATAGAACTTCCGATTTTTTCGCATATATAGTTATAGAAAAAAAAATCTCCACAAATTTATTTATTTTTTCTCTTCTAGCATAAGAATATGAAGTTTTTAACATTATTCTAATTTCATTCTAAATTTGTCAAAAAGAACATTTTCTTAATCCATATAATTATAAGATCTTTATAACTCATTGAAGTAATTAATAAGTATTAATTTTTATATCAATTTAATTTGTATACATTAACCATATACATAATCATTATACTAGTAGTAGCGTATTTTCACTTGTTATTACCGATAAAATTTGCTTATTTTTCATATTAATTACAACCAATAACACTTTTTATGTAAATCTCTTATTACAATTAGTTTTATAAGAAGGATAGATTGGTCAGATGCGTAATAGGCATGATTTGAAGATTATAGATTCCAAATTATAGCCTTTTTTTGTAATTTGTACTTATTAAATGATTTTTTTTCAAGACACTAATAAATGACTTGAAACTAATTCACTCGTATATGGTTTTCCCTTATCTTCTTCGTGTATGTTTACTTCCCTCATTATCTGACTTCGTCTCTGAAGTAGAAATTAAATTAATTTCATATTTTTTGTATATGCAGGTTGATCAGTCTACAATAGTTGGTGAAGCAGTGAACCATATCCTAAAACTGCAGAATACTTTCAAAAAACTTGAAAGTCAAAAGCTAGAAAGGCTAGAAGAATATAGCATAAGGTTGATGAGTTCACAGAAAGTTGGTAATAGTTGGGAGAAATATGTGGGTGATCAAGGATCAACCAACAATTCAACTGTTATTACACCAATAACTCATGGTGCTAGTCCCCTTATTCCAACAGGTTTTATGACATGGAGTTCACCAAATGTGATACTAAATGTTTGTGGTGAGGATGCACATATTAGTGTGTGTTGTCCTAAGAAGCCACAGTTATTTACCATCATTTGTTATGTTTTAGAGAAACATAAGATTGACATTCTGTCTGCTCAAGTTTCATCTGATCAATTCAGAAGCATGTTCATGATCCAAGCTCATGTAAGTCCTTTCATTTTTGTAGTGTATTATATGTTGGTCAATTTGAACATTGTGAACTAGGGTTTTCTAGTTAGCATACTCTCCGATTCATTTTACGTGTCTTTGTTTGATTGCTCAGGAAATATTGAAGAATGAAACGCGTTGAGAAATTCTTTTGAATTGGGTGTTTGAAAAAAATATAGTTATTTTTTTCTTTTATAAGTTTTGCGTCTAATCAAACATTTATCTTCACATGAAATGAAGTATATATCTATCTTTTTTGTTTCTTAGAAATGACTCCTCCCACCTAGTCTCACCCTGAGGTTGAAATTCTCTATTTGCTACTACATATAGTTTAGTCATAGATTATATATGTTTAGAAATTATTTAAATTGTTTTCCCTGAGTCGAGTGTCTAATAGAAATAACATGGATAAACATGAGTACATATTCCCTTCTTCAGACCCCACTTATAAATTTTTACTAAGTATATTATTATTGTTGTTATTATTGTTTGATTCTAAAAACATGTTTAATGTATATTCAGGCAAAAGGTGGAAGTGGGTTAGCTCAATTCTCTGAAGCATTCACAGTGGAAGACGTGTACAAGCAAGCTGCAAGTGAGATAATGGCATTGACAACCCCCAAATGATCAATAACTATTTACTTTTGATGTTCATCCAGTGGAAGATGAACAGTTGTCGCCGTATAGGCATGTTTACTTTTATAGTTCATCTGGTAGAGGATGAACTGCTGTGGCCGTAAAGACTATTTTATTTACTTTTATAGTTCATTCGATAGAGGATGAACTGTTGTGGTCGTAAATACTATTTTATTTTCTTCTGCATTTTATGATGAACGTCTGTCTCCGTATCGGAGAAATGAAAACTACGGAAAGTTTCTTCCAGTGATATTTATAAATAGCAAAAATCTTGGTTTGTCATATGTTTATGTGTTTGCTTTAAGGGTGTGTTTGGTATGGATGAATGTTTATCAATTCCCAGAATCAAGTTCTATTTTTCCAACTTTCACCTTTTTTTTTTATAAATATAAAAAAATGAACCTTTTTTTAAAAAAAAAATTACATCGCAGGAGTAATTTTATTTTACTTCTTAGAATTCAAATATGTCGAGAATAAAACACGAATTATATTTGTTATTATTATTATTATTCTTAAAATTTAAGGCATATTAATAAAATTTAATGTAACTTTAGAGCGCTTATAATATTTTTGAGCCACTCCTGATCCTTGACTATCACTCTGTAATATTTTTCTAAATTACGTATAAATATTCTTGAGACAATTTCTTTTTTTACCTACCCAATAACATAAATAAGCAAGAAACTGAATTTACTCATTTATACTCTCTACCAAACAAGCCCTAAGAGATGAAAAATATCATGTTCCTTAGCTTTTCTAAAGAGGTAGAGGCACCACCCCTCCCAAAAAAAGAAGAAGTTATGTCTGTCTCTTTTCATATTAAAACACGAAGGTACCGCTTTAAGAAAGTTATTTAAATTTTTTTATGTAAAGAGGAATTCTCGTTTGACTCGATCGGTCTTTAATTGAAGTATATCACTATGAAAAAAAAATTATGCTAGAGGATGTGTGTCGTTCGTTGTAAAGGCAATTATATTTACTTGTAAATTTATATAACAGAAAATAGAGGTATGTCGTCTTAAAGATCTTTATATTTATTTTGACAGTTCATCCAGTGGAGGATGAACGTCTTGTCTTCGTAAAGGTCGTTATCTTTATTTTCGCAGTTCATTCAGTGGAAGATGAACGTCTATCAACATATGTAAAGACCATCATATTTACTTTTAAAGTTCATCCGATAGAGGATGCATGTCTGTCATTGAAAAGGCTATTATATTTACTCTTAAAGTCGTCTAGATGATGAATGTCTGTTGTCGTAATTGTCATTATACTTACTTTTGCAGTTCATTCAATGGAGGATGAACATCAATTATCGTATGTAAAGACAATCATATGTACTTTTAATGTTCATCCGATAGAGGATGGATGTCTGTGGTGATAACAACCAACATATTTACTTTTAACGTTCATCGGTAGAGGACGACTATTATCACAAAAGCCATCATAGTTACTTTTAAAATTCATCTCATAACGAATGAATATTTGTCATCATATATAAAGGTCATCTTATTTATTTTCAATTTTCATTTCAGATTGTATAGGAGGTATGAAAACTATGAAATTTGGTCCATTTAATATTCTTCCAATGATATTTATACATAGTAAAGATCTTCGTTCTGAAAAATGTTTATGTAAGTTTTGTATGAATGAAAATATTTTTTAATTTTTTTATATTTTATTTTTTTATATTTTATTTATGAAAATAAATTCTTAGAAATGAAAAATAAATGATTTCCTAATTGTCTCTACCTAACTGCATGGCAATCCACTCCTGCCGGTGTCGATAAAATTGTGAAAGTCATTTAATTATAAGCAATGACCATATTTTTAAAACCTTATTTTTAAATATTAAAAATACATTGATTTTATGGTAATATTCTTTTAAAATGCATATTTAGATTTTAAAAAAACTACATAATATTTACTAAAAGGATAAATATAATTATTTAGCCAATGTGATTGATGGTGACAAATGGTTAATTTAACTTGTATTTATATTCTTTCATTTTCATATTTCTTTTTTTTTTCATAATAAAACTTGGGTTTATATTCTTTCCTTTTCCCCTTTTACTAGTTGTTAAGGGAGGAAAGACATCGAAAAAATTTAAAATTAACATTTTCTTTCTTTTACATTCTTCCCAAGTTTTCACACATTGCCTAAGAATTATAATTCTTAGATTTTAGAGAAAATTACCTAAAATAGTAAACATTTAGCCTATATTATGTACTATAGCTACAATTTAAGAAAATTGTAATTTGCGGCTATAGTTTCTCTAATTCTTGTTATTAACATGATTTGTATAACTCGTCTGATTTGTATAAATCTAGAATTTGTATAATTCATCTTATTTGTATAAATCTAAAATTTGTATAGTTTTTCTGATTTGTATAAATTCGAAATTTGTATAATTTAGTTTCTGATTGTATAAATCCAGAATTTTTTATGTGTTTTACCCTAGCTATTTGTATATGATTTATGAAAAAATCATAATAAATTACTCTGTTTAATTTGTATATTGACAAGCGAAATATAATGGAGTTCTGAAAAATTTCTAAATATAAAAATACAGAATTTTATATACCTATCTATTTGTAGATTTACAAGCAAAATTCATAGCAAACAGAACTATAGCTATTGAGTGCAGTTATCGAAACTATAGTTATAGAACCTTATTATGCTTGCTATTTCTATTTTCTTTTTCTTTTTTTAACTCATACTTTTCCTATTTTATTATTTCAAGCTTTTTTTTGAATTATATCCGTGATTACTTTTTATGAAATTTGTTGAGTTCCATATGATAACACATAGTATAAATCTAGAATTTGTATAATTCATCTAATTTATATAAATCTAGAATTTGTATAATTTGGTTCGTGATTGTATAAATCCATAATTTTGTACGTCCCTAGCTATTTGTATATGATTTATGAAAAAATCATAATAAATTACCCTGTTTAATTTGTATATTGGCAAGAGAAATATACAAACAGAGTTATGAAAATTCAAATTTATAAATACAGAATTATATATACTTACCTATTTGTATATTTGCAAGCGAAATTCATAGCAAACAGAGCTATAGTTATGGAGTGTAGTTATCGAAACTACAGTTATAGAGCCTTATTATGTTTGTTATTTCAAATTTTTTGTCTTTTTTTAACTCATACTTTTCCAGTTTTTATTATTTCAAGAATTTTTTTGAATTATATCCGTGATTACTTTTTATGAAATTTGTAGAGGTCCATACAATAACACATATTTTCAGCTAATTGTGTTTACTTGACAAGGAATATTGAAGACTCCGTAGAAGGAAATATATTGAAGTATGATCTTGGGCATATTTAATTGATCAACTCTTGTGAATTATCCATCTTGAACGTAAGTTTTAGGACATTCACTAATCTAATTACTAGCATGTTTTGGCTGAGGATTGCGATTATTGCATACTAATATACATGATTAGCGATTTTGCAGGTTCCTAAGGGAAGTGATTGATTCAAGGAAGGAAAAGGAGTTGAAGACGACAAGTGACGCCAGGAGAAAAGGGTGGCGTGGCACCCCAACACCACTGGCACAACAAGGGCGCGACGCGCTAGGGCCTTTTGACTGCAGCTTGTTTTTGGCGCACTGGCAGCGCGACGCACCAGCCTGCCAGGCGCGATGCCCCACAACTTTGTGGACGTTTGAGCGAAATTAGATTTAAATAGGACTCCTATTTGAAGTAGAATTCAACTCTATTGTTCCTAACTCTTATAAATAGGCCCTTAAGGCTACATTGTTAGGGTTCGACTTTTTATTTGGTGTGCAAGAGCAAGTTTCATCTTTGGAAATAGGTTTCGATCTTCTAACTCTTCTATTTTCCGAAAATCAACATGAACAATTGTATTTTGTGGTTTTCTAATAGCATGAGAGGCTAAATGCCTTAGTTCTGGGGTTGTAGCTACAAATTGATTGTTGATTATTTAAGGTTTTTTGAATTAATTCTTGGTTGTCATTATAAGTTACTTCTATATTCTTATTTTAGTATTTCGTGCTTGATCACCATGAGATAAATATGTTGTCTAATCTTAAAATCGAGAGAGGAGGGGTTAGATAGACCAGAGAATATAGAGAGCTCGATCAACCCATTTGATTGAGGTGATTTGTGTTTAGGAATGATGCCCAGACGAACAACTTGCTTGGTTATGAAACACAATGAAATATAAATGCTCGTCATTTAGGCACGTTTATCCCCGCTCAACGATGTAGTTAGACTACTAAATGGAGTAGGCGACTAGAGGTTTGATACCCGACTCATACAATTAACCCTGTAAACAAGTAACTTGACAACTAAAATTAGTTCTAAGCCGAGAATATGATACATGAGATTCATTACATGCTGAAGCCCTGGAATTGTCTTTTACTTGCTTGAAACATCATCTTAAAGTCGTTCACAATTAATTACTTTTATTTATTGCATAATTAGTAGTAGTTAACAATCATCACAATTTATGAAAATGGTTACTTTTATTTTATTTGTTGAGATAAGTGTCAAATATAAGTTGATCATAAGTCCCTTGGAAACGATAACTCGTTTCTTTAAGGATCTATATTACTTGAGCGACCACGTACACTTGCGTGTATATTTGGGAGCAACACAGTATACACAGGTCAATTGAGGAGTAATATTCTCATGCATCTTAGAATACTCAATCACAAATAGTTACTTAATTAGCGCGCTCATAAATTAGAAACACAACAAGAACAACAACATACACCGTACGTATATTCTTACAAAGTGTGGTATGGAGAGCATATTGTGCACACAAACCTTATTCCTATCAAAAAGACAGAAAAGTTATTTCTGATATAGACTCAAGAAAGAACGGTCCAAAAAAAAGGTAATAGAAGTGAAAGCATAACAAGAAATGGTCATATTTCGAGATTTGAAATCTTTAAGTATAAAAGTTTGCAAACAAAGATTCAAAGCATGATCTAGTACTCTTACTAGCTTGAAACACAACAACTTTGGCTTAAGGTGTCTATTATAAATAATGAAAATAGAACGCGCAACTATTTCTCTAAACATTCTTAACCATAAAGA